TGCAGTGAACGATTAAATAGTTACTGCTAGGGGCTGTTCTAGGAAGTTGGTGGTTGCGTTCTGCATCTCCTTTATAATACATCTTAAAAAGCAATAACAATTAAGTTATTTCACAAAAAATGTTCCAGGACCCTCTTCAGCAAGTGTGCGCTTTAGAGTTAAGGCTGTAGGCATCTTGTGTGGCTGTTATACCGCAGAGTGTTAATTGATGGTTTAAATGCTTTACAGCTGTTGACTTCTTCAACCAGATCAATATGCTTTATGGAACCATTACGGACTTCTGCACAGAGGAGAGCTGCCCCGTGATGTCTGCTGGCCCAAAGTAAGATTGTTTTTTACACCTTGTTGAGAGCGTGCAATTCTTGAGATGATTTTGCTTTTGAAAATTTGAGACTAGCTCAGTGGAGTGCCAAGGATAAGCTAAGCCCTGGGGGTGGAAAGGACGTCTTCTCTTGTTAACTGTGGAGGGAAAGAAACATTTGAACCTTTGTGAAGGGAGTGGGGAATGGAAAGGTGGTTTTTTTGTTTGTTGTTCTTCAGCTTGGGAAGTAAACTCATTATCAAAACTATTTTTCCCTTTTTCTTTTTTTTTTTCCCCCTGAAATGTTAATGATGGCTTCTTAAATTAAGATTTGAAGTTTTTATATGCAAGCATTCAACTAGAGCTTATCAAAATCTTTCTTTTAGGCGTTTGAGTAGGTATTGTAGAAATAAGCTTGGCTACAGTTTTTAGTAGTGTGGATAAGAATCCCCTACCCTGTTGCTCTGTTAAGTTTCACTTTTTTGATTCTTGCTTATGCTTGTGTACAGACATCCAAGGTCTGTGTTTTTTATTGCTCTCCAGCTGCTTAGTGTCTTCCAATGAGGAAAATACCTGCATTTCTAAGCGAGTGGCGAGGGAGGGCACTGCTTCCTCTTAAATTACTGTAAAACCTTAAATAAACAAACAAGAAAAACAATCCTCTTCTCTACTTCCTCCTTCTCTATAATGACATTTGGTGTTATTGTCTGAAGCCAGTAATTGCCAGCCAGTGTGGTGGAGAGCTGAGGAAATGGAAAAAGGGATGGAGAGGGCAGGAGCTCGGCAAGGCAGAAGCAGCCAGGCAGACCAAGAAAAGCTGTGGTGCTACGTTCTTAAACTGAAAAGGGATGCTGCTGAATGCCAAAACCAGTGTGGGCAGGGAGACCTGCTGCTGCAAAGCGAGGAGGGGTGAAAATACAAAAGGAATCGAAGTTTACCATGATGCAAAGGAACTTTGGGATAAGCTTGTGCAATAACGTAGCCCATTGTCTGCTTTGCGCTTTGGCATGCAGAACAGACTCTTATTTATTAAATAAGAGTGTGAAAATATTTCTTTGCTTTGTTGTTTATCTGCTGAGAAGCATTTATTTGGGGGTGAAGGTCAATTATTAAAGGCTTAGCTGTCTGGTTGCCAGACTAAACAATTTATTTTTCTCCAAAGAGACGGATAACCATTGACAGAAATGCATGTTGTACTCAAATAGTTATGAAGCAGGGTAGAAGAGAGATGCTAGAGGCTCGAAGATGCACTCTGCCAAGGTTTTAATGATCTTGTCCCTAGGATTTGTAGAGCGTTCCACAAACTCTGCAGCCCCTGCCTGTGCTCAGGGATGGGTTTTGTGAAAGGCTCAGGAGTGGGTGTACACGTGTGGGGCCGAGGCCAGGCAGGCACGGGAATGGGTGATTTGTGAGGCTGGCGGTGGCTGGTGGTGGAGTATATGCAGTGTTTTTTAGTCTTGAGTGTGGCTTTCTTTCACAGAATAGGTGGCTTGCAAAATTTCTTTCAGGGAAGTACTGCTGGACAACCTGTCAGCACGAAAGCACTGATATTTATGGATTTTTTTTGTTTGTTTCTTGTCTCTGCTTCCTGTTCTCTTTGGTCTTAAGCTATATTCGTTGGAGAAGCATTTGAGTCTTAGGTGCTCATTAGTGCTTCTAGGCTGAAGGTTGCTGTCTGCTCACATCCATGGCTGAGCTGCCACCGGTATTGCATCCTCATCTGCTTCAGACGGAAGAGCACGACTTAGCTGAAACGACGTACGTAAGGCCCTTTGAAACAGGTTAGGCAGCCGTAGCGTGAGCAGCTGGAGAGAACCAGAAGCAGCAAGCATTCTGTGACTCTAGAGTCTGATTTTTGCATTCCTCCTGGGCAAGTGTTTATGGTCCATATATTGAGAAAGGTTTGTTAGGTACTGGTGCATATATACGTAGCTGTTTAGAACTCGTCGTGGCTCAGTCGCAGTTTTCATAGCACAACTGACAAACTCATTGCAGTCTATGGGAGAATTAAAGCGGACCTCTGAAGTGAGAGGGTAACTAGAGCAGAAGCGGGATGTTGCCTGTATCCACTGCCTGGTACTGGTGTTTTGCCTTTACAACCCCTTGAAAAGAAAAAAAATGGACCTGGCAACAGAAAGGTCACCTAGGTTCACGTCTGGGCTTTTTTTGTGTTTTATTTTTGATACAGAGAGGGTTATCTTCTCTAAAGGGCTACCATGAAGCGGCTACTTCTCTGACCCACTGGTTCTTTTCGGTAGCCATCTCATACGGAAGGGCTTAGCTGAGGCAGGTAAATTTTTGTGTGCTGTGGGATCACTTTGATTTGTTTCGGATTTGTCTTTGTTGGAAGGATTGCTGACTTAGCTCGTATCAGGGTGTTAGTACATTGAGTTAGCTAAGGATTGACGTAAAGATCAAGAACAGATCTTGCTTTCCTGCTGCACAGCTCACTGTCTAACAATTTGAAAAAAAAAAAGGGTTTAATTTGTTCCAAAACATATGATTACTCACGCTGATGTTGCATTCTTTTCAATTCAGCAAAGACCAGCCGTTTCTTACCCAAGCAAACCCTAGCTGGTTATCACTTGCTTTTCTTTTATATCAGTTGCAGTATCGCCATCAGTGCAACAGGCAGGATAACAAGTGAAGAACCTGCGTAGAAGTAATACGTTCATTAACCAGCATTGGGTCAGGGGGATTTTATTTGTTTTCCTCCCTGGTTGCTGGTCTTCAATAAGAACACGAAGGAGGGACGTGGCTGCTGCGTTTTTCAAAGCTGGATGTCTGAACTGGGGCTCCAAAATCCGTATTTACGCGTTTGTGCGGGTGTACTAAGCTCACTCTTAATGGCAGTGAGAGCCTCGCGATTTTCCTGAGGTTTGTTGGTCTGCAGTGCTTCTGCCTTCCCATGCTCAAATTGGAATAGCTGGGCACTGCAGTGTGGAGAGCTCCCGTAAATCCCCCATGGGCGTAATGTGGTGCAATTGAATGTTCGCATGCTGCCTTCTACGGTGAAAAAAATGGTTAAGTCATGTAATCGGGTCCTTGAAATACCCTGTCTCTCTTAGCAATATCAATCCTTTTGCCTTTTTGTGGCGCTCCACGCTGTGCCTGTGTCGACTGATGACGGAGGGACAAAACCCAGGCAGTCATCTTCAGCAGTGGTGATGTAATACAGTTTTGCTGAGGTTTGGAGACGACAGGTCCTAACAGATGTCCGAGTAAAGGACATTTTAAACTTAAAAGGAATTTTAAAAGGCGTTGCTGAGCCACCGCCTTGTATTGCCATTAGACAAAGTAACAGCTTCGATTTTAGTCAAGCTGGTTTTGCTTTTCTGGGGTTTTTATTTTGGTTTTTTTGGGGCAGGGGAGAGGAGGAGGTTGGCCATGTATGTTTAATTGTGCAGTAGAGGAGCTGGGCCTGTGATTGTTTATACTGAGGGATATTTTCTAGTGTGAGAAGCGTAGTTGGGTTTTCTGTTTATAGATGGCAGATAACTTGTGTTTGTTAGTCCGAGAGAATTCAACCAGAGTCGTTAGGGATTCTGAGCTTTTTCCCTGCCCTTGCTTTGCTCTATCCTTCACATGTTGTTTTGCCCTTAAAAACCTCTGCTAAACTGTAGAGGTTTCTAAAAATGTATTTTCTGTAGAGGAGCTGCCTATCGCAATAAAGTGAATTTGTTTCTTTCAACAGATCTGTAGGTGTTTGCGTGCAAGCTTGAGCTAGAAATGGGATTTTACCCTTCATTTCCTGTAGCAGTTCAAATGATTCTAATACGTGGGAATTTTTTGTGTGCGTTGGGTTTTCTTTCTTCGTTTAAGAAGTTGGGCTAGGATTCTTTTTTTTTTTTTTTTTGGTGATGTATTTAATCTTGCAGGAAGAGTTCATTTTCCCTTCCCTTGTGAACCCCAAGCCTTTTGACAGCCTAGGAACAACCGTGAATGCTACGCCCACAGCGTGGAACAGGGGGTGTCTGCCCGAATACTTTCAGATTCTCTATGTGACTTTATTTTTGTCAGGATCTATCTGCTGTTTCTTAAGAGCTGTGTTGTTTAAAGGGTCATCCTATGGCATTTATTCCTCTAAAAAATGCAGAATTAACCCGTAGCGGTGGGGAAGGAGGGAGGCTTCTTCGGGATACGCGTTAGTTGGATGAGATTTTCAGCATGTGGTTTAGCTTGTTGTCTTAATCTGTCTCCAGACTGAACCTGGCACCTCAGCGAAGCGCTGCTGCTTGTCCTATATTAATATCACATAAATCTCAGTAGTCGGGTAGTGCTGCGTAGTGAGGAATGCTGATTTTTCAGAAATCCAGACGTCCAGAAGTCCATTCGGCACGTATGAATTTTTGCACATGTTTTGAGCTACAAATTAAAAATGCTTTCAGACTTCGCCGTTATGAAAATGGGATCTTTTTATACCACTGTGAGCAGCATGCTCGTAATCACTCATAAAACTTGTTTGTTGTGAAAATGTTCTCCTGGTTACTGCTTCGACAAACCTTAATTTGTTAAACAAAATGAGAAGCCAGATTTATCAGATACAGTTAAGCTTTGCATAAAATGTTGGGTGTGATTTTTAAAATAGCAGACCTTCTCCAGAGTCCGCACAGTAGTGCGAGATGTTGTTCAGTCTGGGGAAGAGGAGGCTGAGGGGAGACCGTACAGCTCCCTACAACTGCCTGACAGGAGGGGGGAGCTGGGCTGGGGGTCGGTCTCTTCTCCCAAATAATCAGCAATAGGATGAGAGGAAGTGGCCTCAAGTTGTGCCAGGGCAGGGTGAGGTTGGCCATGGGGAACAATTCCTTCCCCTTGGGGCTGTCAGGCACTGGAAGGGGCTGCCCAGGGAAGGGGTCGAGTCCCCA